CGCAGGGGAGGGATGGCTGCTGCAGAGGGGATGCCTGGGGGCCGAAGGCCATCCACTGTCCGACACATCGAACAAAGTGGGCTCAACACGACAGAATTTTTAAAAAACCCCGATGTGGCCTTACACTTCCACATCTCACTCAGCGGTCATGACCTGAGCCTCACCCAGGAAGCGAGCGGATGGCCGTCATGTGCTCATAATGGGAAAACCTAGTTAGTGACACGCATAGGCAGGGCCAGGCCTACGCCGCCCCGTGGGGGACAAGGAGACCAGGGAGCCACAGGCCTCCCCGGATCCCCCGTTCCTTGCTGAGACAGTCCCCCTGTGTCGCCCTCAGCTGTGCCCGGGGAAGGGGTCATGGGCGGTAGCTCAGGGGTGACCTTGGAAGGCCCTCGGGGTTCACGCAGGCTGCAGCTACCCTTCCTCTCTCCCTGTCTTGGCCTGCTTCTAGCTCTCTCTCTCTCTCTCTCTCTCTCTCTCTCACACACACACACACACATGCACACACATGCACATGCACACCCCTCAGGCAACAACACCCCCCTTGCCAAGGGGACAACCAGGAGCCACTGTTTCTTTTTTTCTTTTTTTTTTTTTATTATAATTTAATTTTTATTGGTGTTCAATTTACCAACATACAGAATAACACCCAGTGCTCATCCCGTCAAGTGTCCCCCTCCGTGCCCGTCACCCATTCACCCCCACCCCCTGCCCTCCTCCCCTTCCACCACCCCTAATGTGTGGGAGATATCAGAAAGGGACACAGAACATAAAGACTTCTAACTCTGGGAAATGAACTAGGAGCCACTGTTTCGATTGTGCATTCTTAAAGCTGCCAACTCAAACCACGGGTCTGGCGGTCGGACAGGGAGGACTGTGGCACCGTCCTGGACGCCGGCTCTAGCTCTCAATTCATTCCGGGCCCAGGCTTCGGAGAGGAGCGTCGCCCAGGGCCCTAACCAGGAGGGCACCTGCGAACGTCAGTGATGGGCACCCCTGGTGGTGAAGATACAGGTGACATTTCCTTCTTTCTTTTTTTGTGCCGGCCCTATTCTTTTCTATTTTTTTTTTTTTTTGCAATGAGTTTCATATTCTTAATCGGGATGACAAGAACACAGTAAGAGATAAAATGATGGAAGGGAGAAAGTAAATGTAACGCGTTAATTCCGGAACCCAGATCCCCCAGGAACTCGATGAATACAGTTTGGCTGCTTTGCATAACAAAAAAGAAATATGCTCCCTTTTCAATTCACACAACTGAAATTTTGAATTATGTCTTGGCTTTTATTTTCTTAAAAAAATTTTTTTTGTCAAATACTCTAAATGATGGGTTTGCAGTAATGTACAGCTAAACAACCAGCATGTTTTTGTGTATGTCTTAAAAAGATTTATTTACTTGAGAGAGAGAGTTAGGGTTAGGGTTAGGGTTAGAGAGAGAGAGAGAGAAAGAGCGAGAACCCACATACATGCAAGTGGGGCGGGGGCCGGGACTGCGAAGGGCTCTCCAGGCAGAGTGCGGGGTGCTCAGAGCTCCAGCTCAGCCCCCCGAGATCACCCGGACTTGGATGCTTGACTGCCAGCGCCACCCAGGCATCCTGGTTAGGTGCAGTTTTGTAATAATCAAAAATAAAATCGTTATTCTCCAAATAAAAAAAAAATCAGGAAAACAGGTAGGTTTTTTTTTTTAATTTTTTTTTTTTTTTGGTCCTAGTCAAGATTCTTTCAGTTCAACTAAGAGAAACTTCCAATTGGCTTGAGCCAGAAAATTAATTCGAAAAATACCGGGAAGGGGCTGAGTCTCTGTGCACAGTGACAAACGCGAAGAATCTTTATTATTTTTTTTTTAATTTTTATTTATTTATGATAGTCACATAGAATGAGAGAGAGAGGCAGAGAGAGAAGCAGGCTCCATGCACCGGGAGCCCGACGTGGGATTCGATCCCGGGTCTCCAGGATCGCGCCCTGGGCCAAAGGCAGGCGCCAAACCGCTGCGCCACCCAGGGATCCCAGCGCGAAGAATCTTTAAATGGAAATGTGAGCGTCTGGGTGGAATCGGACCATCGATGCCTTCCCCGGCTGGGGGTCAGGCTCGGGGTCAGGCTCGAGGACTTGAGAACTTGGTTCTGATGTCCTTGAGGTGTTTATACCTCTAAGCCATTTTGAAAGATGGTTCCTATCAAAAGCCAGGTTACGAAAACTACAAAGCAATAGCAAGTTTGGAGAATTTAAACATCGGGAGAGGATAGACACAGCGTCTCGGCTGGCGCGGCCTGCAATGATTGGGAAGAGGCCCTGACGGGGATCCACGCATCCCCATTCATCCGTCCGTGGTGGATGCACTTTATGTTATTATATATAGATTTTTTGGCAACTTGCAAGCCTCATGGAAAGGGAGCACAGAGAAGGCTAAAAGGTGGTGTCTTCCCGGGATTATTTCAGTGGCGAAGGTGGGTGAAGCTGGAGTAGAGGATGTGTACTCAGGAGGAGAGAGTCTTATCTCTGAGAACCCGGGGTCGCATGAAAGTCCACAGGACTTTGGACATTGAATAAGGTGAGAAAGGGTCTGGAAAAACTTGTCTTTAAGGCATCGGAAGCGAATGAATAAGAAAGTGCATATTCTGAGATGTTCCATTAAGTCATAGGATGGATGGCACTTGCCATGTGTGGCCTCTGCAGTCCGTTCGCAGGCCCTGCGCTTGTTCAAGTGAAGCTGGAACATACTGAAGGCTGATGGGGTTTTCCCCCCAATAGGGCCGCAGGCGCTCGCGCTCAGCTGCCGTGTTCCAGGGAGTCTGGGGCTCGCTCTCACTCTGTTCCTATGCTGTGTTAAGAGAAAGATTTGTGGGCAGCCCCGGTGGCTCAGGGGTTAAGCACCTGCCTTAAGGATGTGATCCCGGACACCCAAGATCGAGTCCCACATCGGGCTCCCTGCTTGGAGCCTACTTCTCTCTCTGCCTCTCTGTCTAATGAATCAATAAAATCTTTTAAAAAATATATTTGTATATTCATAACGACGCGAGATCAGCATGGATCTGGATGGGCGGTCAGCCTCTCTGCTCCCAAGTACTGGGCTAGCACTCGTGTTCACGATCCTTATATTTTTTTAGCGGTTGTAAATTAATTGTTTACTTGCGATTATTCACAGATGATTTCAATTAAGGCTATTTACAGAAAAAGTAGCAGTGTCCTCAGACCAAAGGTCTTAATAAAATGATTGCACCGTGTGCTTGACTGCTGTGGTTGAAGGGAAAACCTAGTTAGAGGAGGACCCTGAGCAAGTAGGAGGAGGCCTGATTCCAGCACTTCCTAATCACGGGATATGGGGTAAGTCAGTTAAGGTTCTAGGACTTCAGTGACCTTGTATTTAAAATAAGCGAGTCCGACAAGAGCTAGGTGATTCCTAAATTTAGTTTCCATTTCAAAAAACTGCAAACTCTTTCTTTTTTTTTCTTTTTTTTTTAATGGAGAAAGCATCGGGGAGAAGGAAATTGATTCGGTGAACAAGGTCTTTGGGGGAAAGTTCCAGGACCACCTTATCCTAAGTGTAGTTAGATACCGTGGGAGGGAAGAACCGTGCTTCCCGGGTGCCCTCTGCGCCCCGGCTCGGCTCCGCCCTGGGCCCGGTTCGTGTGCGGTGACCCCGTGTCACTGCAGGACCCTGGAGGGGGGGACGCGGGGGTCCGGCCCCGCTGATTGTCAGCCGCCCACTGCAGCACCTGTTGGTTCGCCCTACACGGGGACCCCCCCCACCATGCTTTCATATTCGAAATGACAATTAGTGGAGTGGGGTCTGGGAAGCCAGTGCTAGGGGTCCAGGCCCTCATCCGTGCAGGACGGCTTGTGGGATGCCCCCCTCGCCCCCCCTCGCACCATGGCCTCATGGGGTCTCCTGGGGTCGGAGGTGCTGTGCGCCCCTGCACCCAGAGGAGCCCCTACAGGACTGTAGGATGCCCCCCCCTTGCACCCACGACCTCACGGGGCCTCCGGGGTCGGAGGTGCTGTGCGCCCCTGCACCCAGAGGAGCCCCTACAGGACTGTAGGATGCCCCCCCCCTTGCACCCACGACCTCACGGGGCCTCCGGGGTCGGGGGTGCTGTGCGCCCCTTCACCAGGAGGAGTTCGATTCCGAGGCGCCGAGGAGCCCGGCCAAGGCGGGTGAGGAGCAGCGGCGCCCCCTCTCCCCCCCCCTTGGTGGGCTGCTCGGGCCTGGGAACTTGGGGGGGCGAGCAAAGTCTACGCAGGTACCCGGGGTGGGGAAGCACCGCGGGGAGGCTGCGCTGAGGAAGGTGGTGAAGGGGGTGCGGGAGGGTGGGGTGCAGGGTGCGGGGTGTGCGGAGATGAGGTTGTGGGGTGCGGGGGGGCGGGATGCGGAGTGCAGCGGGACAGGGTGCAGGGGGTGCAGGGTTGTGGGGGTGCGGGGTGCAGGGGGACGGGGTTCGGGGTGACGGGGTGCGCAGGGAACGGGGTGCGGAGTGATGGGGTGTGCGGGGTGCAGGATGTGGTTGTGGGTGCGGGGGGTGCAGGGTTCGGGGGGACGGGGTGCGCTGGACAGGGTGCGGAGGGTGCGCGGGTGCGGGGTGCAGGGGTGCGGGTGGCCGCGAGGCACTTGCCGGGCGAGCGCTGGGGCTTCCCCTGTGGGTTTGCAAACCGGATTTAAATAAAAACAAAACACCGAAAAGAAAGGGAAGGCGCGGGTTCTCCGGCCCGCGCGTGCCGCCCCCGCCGAGGTGCGCCGGGCCGGGAGGGGCGCGGGGGGCGGGGGGGGCGGGGGGGCTTCGGTCCGTCGGTCCCGGCGGGGCGGCCTCGCTGTCCCCCGCGGGCTCTCCGCGCCGCACCCCGTCCCGCCGCCAGCGCAGCCCGGGAGCGGCGGGCGGAGGGGGCGGGGCGGGGCGGGGCGGGGGGAAGGGCGGGGCGGGAGGGCGAAGGGAGGGGGCGCCGGCCCGCGACGCTGGGGCCCCTCGGCCGAGAGGGGGAGCCCCGCGGCCCCAGCCGAACCGCCCGCAGGCCCGGCCTCCACCCGGCGCCGCCACGGCCGCCTCGGCGGGTCCCGGGGCGCACGGCCCGGCCCAGCTCCCGCGGCCGCGGCGACTCTTCGCCGGGAAAGTTTCCGAGTGGGCCGCGGGCACGGCGGCGGCGGCGGCGGCGGCGGCGGAGGAGGAGGAGGTCGCGCGGCTCGGCCCGCCCGGAGCCGACCCCACTGCGCGGATCCCGCAGGTCTGCGGGGACCGCGCGCCCCGGCCGTCCTCCCCGCGCAAGCCCGGCCTCCGGCAGGTAGGGCGCGGGCCCCGGGGGAGGGGAGGGCAGGGGTCCGGCGAGGGGGGCGCGGGGCCCTGGGGAGGAGGGCAGGGGCCCGGGAAGGAGGGCGCGGGTCCCGGGGAGGAGGGCGCGGGGGGCCCCGGGGGAGGGCAGGGGTCCGGGGAGAGGGCGCGGGGCCCTGGGGAGGAGGGCAGGGTCCCCGGGAGGAGAGCGCAGGGGTCCGGAGAGGAAGGCAGCGCCCCCGGGAATTGGGCAGGGGTCCGGGGGGAGGGCAGGGGTCTGGGGAGAGGGCGCAGGGGTCCGGGGAGGAGGGCAGCGCCCCCGGGAGTTGGGCAGGGGTCCGGGGGGAGGGCAGGGTCCCGGAGGAGGGCGCCCAGCGGGGGGAGGCGGCGGGAGGCGCGTGGCCTGAACCGCGGCGAGGACCTGTTGCGGCCGCGCGGGGAGCGGCGCGGGTCGGGGGCGCGGACCCCCGGGGCGCGGCCGGGGCGTCTCCGCGGGGTCCGAGCGAGGAGACCCCGGAGCGAAACTTCGCGCAGCCGAGCGTCCCTTTTGTTGCCCCCGGAGGGAGTGTGCGCCCCGGGGCGGGCCGGCGGGAGCTGCCTGGGCCGGGCTCGGGGTCCCCTAGGCAGGGGTGGGGGGGCCCACACTCAGGGGGCGGACACCCGGGCTCCAGGTCCGCGGGGGTGCGGACACCCCAGGCTCCCAGGTTCTGTCGGGAGGCGGGGCGGGCACCCTGAGTTCCCAGGTCCCGTGGGGGGGGGGGCGGAGGATGCACACCCCGAGCTCCCAGGTCCCGTGGGGGGGGTGGAGGATGCACACCCCGAGCTCCTAGATCCCCGTGGGGGGGGGCGGAGGATGCACACCCCGAGCTCCTAGGTCCCCGTGGAGGGGCGGAGGATGCACACCCCGAGCTCCCAGGTACCGTGGGGGGGGGTGGAGGATGCACACCCCGAGCTCCTAGATCCCCGTGGGGGGGCGGAGGATGCACACCCCGAGCTCCTAGGTCCCCGTGGGGGGGCGGAGGATGCACACCCCGAGCTCCCAGGTACCGTGGGGGGGGGGGTGGAGGATGCACACCCCGAGCTCCCAGGTACCGTGGGGGGGGTGGAGGATGCACACCCCGAGCTCCCAGGTCCCGTGGGGGGGGTGGAGGATGCACACCCCGAGCTCCTAGGTCCCCGTGGGGGGGGCGGAGGATGCACACCCCGAGCTCCCAGGTCCCGTGGGGGGGGGCGGAGGATGCACACCCCGGCCTCTCTCTCAGGTCCCGCGGGAGGCCCCGGGCAGGGCTGCCCTTCGAGGACGCCCTACGGGGTGCGGGCGCGGGGGGAGGCGCAGGTGCCGGGGGCGCCTCGGGGCGGGGCAGGGTGCGCACCCCCTTCCCAGGTGCCGACGGCCGGGCTGAGCAACGGGCTGCGGGCTGCGGGGCTGCGGGGCTGGGGCCACCCCCTGGGAAGCGCCTGTTAGGGTCCTTGAAGGACCTGCTCCTAAGAAGAGGGACGTCGCAGGGACACGGGAACGACAGCTTCCGGGGTGTTCTGGGTCTGGGTCCGCCCGCTGGTTCTGGGGGGGGGCCTGACCCCCGTGCGCCCCCTCGGGCAGCCGCTAGCCCCGCCGGCGGAGAGGGGGGCGCGCCCCGGGCTCCAGGCCCCCCTGGAAGGGCCTGCGGAGCTGGCGGGCTGGTGGGGGACGGACCGTCGGGCCCTGGGGCTTAAAGGGGCTGCTTTGCCGGGAGAAATTTTGGGGTGACTGAGCTCAGGCCTCTTGGCCAAAAAGTAAAAGAAAGAAAAAAAAAGCCAGAGGAAGCAAGCAGGGGGCGTGACCTAGGAGGGGAGACGAATGCTGGGGGAGCCCTCCTGGGGCGGCCCGGGGCGCGGGGGCTGCGCGCTGCCCGGACCTGCGCCCCTGCAGCTCCTTGCGCCCCGCACGCAGCTCCTTGCGCCCCGAAGCTCTTCCTTGCATCCTGCTCCTCCTTGCACCCCGCGGCTCCTTGCGCCCCGCAGCTCCTCCTTGCACCCCGCAGCTCCTCCTTGCACCCCGAAACTCCTTGCACCCCGCAGCTCCTTGTGTCCCGCTCCTCCTTGTACCCTGCAGCTCCTTGCGCCCCGCAGCTCCTCCTTGCACCCCGCAGCTCCTTGCACCCCGAAACTCCTCCCTGCACCCCGCAGCTCCTTGCGCCCCCGCGGGCAGGAAGCCAGGACCTGCGCTCTGCGCTCTGAGCAGCCGGTTTCCACCTGAACGGAATCCGTCAATTAGGTTTTCTCAGGTGGCACCGATTTGGGTGGTGCTGCGAGGCGCAGGCCGTGTGGGAAGCGCCCCCTTCTGAAGGCGAGCAAGTCGGGTGAGCGCGCGTGTCCCGCGTGGACCCCGGGCCTGGGCCCTCCTGCCTGAGCTCCGCATCAGGCCTGCTCCGCGGGCACTACTCTGCGTTGAGTTTGCGTCCCCACCCTCCCTCCCTCCCTCCCTTCTTTCCTTCCTTCCTTTTCCGGGACTTTGGTTTTTACCCTCCTGGGTTTGGGGGTTGATTTGCACAAAGCGCTGGTTTGGTTCTGTCTCCACGGGAGCGGCGAGTCTGAGATGCGGCCCACGCGCCTGCCCTGGGACCCCTGTGAATCCCCTCGGCAGGGCCTCCGCTGGGACTTCAGTTTCTAAACTTGCGAAGCAAAGAAACTTTTTTTTTTTTTACATGATTACGAGTTTACTGTGAGCATTAAAGAGATGAAATTATGTTAATAGTTTTAGAAATATAAAGGTCACAAAGTTTCTTAGTGGATTCAGTGGAAAGGATGGGGGTAAAACGGTAATTATATCTAGTACACACGTTACAGCGACTGGGCTGCATTTCCTAGAAAAGTTACTACTTTTGCATTTGGATCCTAGCTTTAGTTTAATCAGATTTTAATCTTTGAGAATATTGGGTGAGATTTTGTGATGGTTACAGCTGAGTCATTCTTTCAGACAGAAAAATACAATCAGCGAATTATTTTTCTCTTGGTTTATATTTATAGTCAGGACCAGTTATTATTTTTTTTAAGTCCAGCTCAATTTTGCCTTTATGAGAAGTTACCAGATATATTTGCAGGATCTGGCTCCTTTCTCGGAAATAACACTTGAGGACTAAAATTACATTTATGGTGTGCAAGCAAACTTCTTTTCCCAAAGGCCACAACGGTTTCCTTTTAAGAGGTGAGAAGGTAGATTTAGGAGCCTTTCATTAATTAATTCAATTAATATCCGTTGCAAATTTTTTATGTCCGAGGAAACCGCAGGCTTGGTTTCAGATCTTAGCTCTGAAATTCTTAGCACTGTGATTTTTGTTATTTTACTTTCTACCAGCATTTTACCAACATATAATTTATTGTCCGTTTGCTACCTATAACGTATGTCCTTGTTCCACACATGATAATTGTGAAATATTTCATTTTTAGTTTGACATGTCAATTAGCAACATAAACTACCTATTTTTATAGCTTAGTGTGCTATATCGTATGCATGGATGTTTATTTTTTCAGGTGAAAGGGTCAATGTATTAAATAGGTACTTTTTTTTGGAATAATCAAAGGACAAGTGAATGCTCGAGGATAAATTAGAGTAATAATTTTAGTGGAAAATATCCAATTTTGCATTTGATTTTACATTAAAAATCTTGAAATTCTTTAATCTTCACTGCTGAATATTAGTTAATTTTTATTTAGAGTTCACTTAGGAGAGCATTTTGTTTGTGATTCGTTCTTGTAAAGTTAGTTTTCTAAAACTTCAAAAGGACAAAAAAGTTATTTTATTTGAATATAATAATAACTACAAAAGTAGTTACTACAGGAGTCAACCGTCAGGTTACCTGAGTCCTGGTCCCTAAACGTATCAGAGGTTAGTGGATCTAATAGTGCTTTGCCTTAACACATTTACAGATCAAGAAACTTAAACTCGTTCCTATGGGACTTAAATATATTCGTATTGGAAGAGGAAAATTGGTGTAAATTTTGAGCTGAGAAATCTCTCTGCTTTCAAGCAATGGAGATACGAAATTCAAATCAGGCCTTTATTTTAAGGATCATGATGGAAAGTCATGGTTTCAGGCTTAGAAGGTGCTTAATACTGTTTTTAGGCTCTGTTAGTTGCTAGTTTTGTATTTCTTTTAGACTAAAAGTTTTCAGCTGCTCTAATGATACAACTCATGATTATTTTTTATGAGAAGACAGTTAACTGACACAAATATTGTACGAAGAAATAAATGCCCATTTCCTGCCCTCATTGAAATGATGTCCTATGGTAAATTTGGAATTTGTATCATCTTTCCATATGGTGCACTTAAGGATAGTGTTGGAAAGGCAGGTCGCATAGTATGAGTAAAGGAGTTATGTAACAATTGTGATTATAAATTTTTAAAAAAGTTTTGGATGACACTATATGTTTTCTAGAGTACACCTAAGAGAACAATCTAGGTAGTACTAGAGGCTGTAATCTTACGTTTATTTTTTTTGATATTAACATTATATAAATATATCTACATATTGTTTTTATCATATACTTTCTGAAGAGGAAGCTCAGAATATATCCTAGAAATGTCCAAGACTTAGGTGACTAATGCCTCTTTGTATCTGTGTATATATATATAGACTTAATCTCTATACATGTATTTATATCTCTATGAAGTATTTATGACATAATTGTATATATGCTTTGAGATTTCTCTATGCTAGGTATATTTTTATAGGGAAAAGTAACTTCAATTAATTGATGTTTCTAGGCCAATTTTAACCATTAGTTTAAGACCTTTTTTTAGATAACTGTGGCTAGCGATGCTTGAATCCACCCCCCCCCAAATTTTGAAGGAGTTTTCAGGCTTTTATTTATATCTATAAAGATAGAGAAAAGTAGTGGGAGGGATCCCTGGGTGGTGCAGCGGTTTAGCGCCTGCCTTTGGCTCAGGGCGTGATCCTGGAGACCTGGGATCGAATCCCACGTCGGGCTCCTGGTGCATGGAGCCTGCTTCTCCCTCTGCCTGTGTCTCTGCC